GTGTTGTGAGAAGAGGATTGTAACACAATCCTTAAACCCGCTGCTTTGATGGGTGCTCGTTGTGGGAATGTCTCTCAAATATCTGCCTTATAGTTAAGAAATGTCCTGCAAAGGAATTTATTGTTTTAATATCAGTAACACTGCGTTAAGCATGCCGTAAAAACACCTTTCCTAATAACATTGAACAATTCCCAAAACCTTTGTCCCCAAAACTTCTTGTTTTATTACCCCTATCACATCAGCAAGGGTTGATCTAAATGTGAACTCCGCGTGCGGTCCCATAGCCCCCTGCATACCCAGCGCGTTTATGACCACGTAGGGTACCAAGCGCAAGAGGAATTTATAGGATTCCTCTAACAAGGGGATATAATTGAGTCATTACAGGCTTTAATGGAATCGCTGGGAACGGACTGCCAGGAACCAGCAGGTAGTGCCTAGTTGTTTTTGTCAGAACGAGTGTACACAAGACCGACTTGTGGAGTGTGGTTTTCGATACTTGCAAGAGAATCGATACAGGACTACATAAAGGACAACAGATACCTAATCAACAAAGTTTTCGCTCATGAGGGTTTCATTCGTGTCAATGCAGAAATGGTAAAAGGAACATTAAATAAATAGAAAAGGCAGAGTAACATTTAAAAATACTCGAAACATTGGCGTCTGGCACAATGTCCTCAAAGCATGTCAAACTTTTCACTGATTCACGATGTCCACATTAAAGGGTAGCTGCAATGAATTTTTCTTAGACACAATTTTTCTGCAACTTTGTACTCTTCTACAATGTATGAACACTGTTTTACACTCCTATTTGAAAAGTGCGCTTTTTTTTTACTGTTGCTTTAAAGTAATGCAGGGAAGACATAGATCAGTCTGTATATTTTCTGTTCAAATTGTGAAACCAGAATTTGCTTACTGAAAACGTCTCTGAGAGAGCGACTAACGCCTGCTTATTGCTGTGCACATAAACAACAATGCATCAGCAAAGAAGAAGAAATTTAGTCCAGCAAAATCTACAAAAATGCAGGACTTCTTTGTGTACAAACCAATTTAACAGGGATACTGTCTTCCTGGGATGACATCATAGTTTTGCTCATGAATAATGAAATACTCATCTGCATAAAGCCCCCAAAGCAGTAAACTACCCTTTGAAATGGTGAAACAAAAGTGGAAAATAAGGTTACCTGAGACCAAAAAATGCACTTTGAAGCTTTGTAATAAAACAAACTGATTGCATTTCCCCTACAACTTACGGGCGTTTTGCTTTGTGCATGTAGGGCGATAATGCAGATGACTTCTGTATCTAGTGTCTTTCAACTCAATTACTTTGTCAACTACGCAATTTCTCATTGATATCTCTGGTACTATTTCACAGCTCTGGGGTTCCCGTAGTGGCCCAAACCCGACGCTGAGTAAGCGGGTACTGCTGACATATTGGGCGGTGTTGGGTGCCGCAGCGCCTAACTGTGGGGCCCAGCTTTGACTGTCGCAACCGTTGTTTTTGCGACGTGTGCCATTGAGCGACATCAGATAGCTGCCAACTAGGTTCAATCTCTCTTTGGTGCTTTCCAAAAAGTAATTTTCGATGCAAATGTCGTTGAGGAGTTTTGTTTTTCGTTGTTTTGTTTTTGTTTTCTGTCGGACAGATGCACACCCAGGGTCAAACCAAGAAGGGCAAGGGGACGGGGGTGTTCTTCATTTTTGAGGAAGGGTTCCTATAAGTAAAATGTCTTTTATCCGAGACTTCTCAGTTGAAGAGCAAAACTTTTTATCACGGGATTGCGAGGATGTCGAATTTGGGTTCATATGTCATGGGCTACAGAAGGATTTGCACCCACCCATACTTTTGTTCTGTCACGATTAGCCTGAGTCCCGGTGCGATCACGTCCCAGAGTCAACCAAACGGTCAACCAAGCGTACTCTGCAAAAACCGTTGTAGCCATGAAATCTTTTCCAAGACACGTTCTTGTTATCAGGTTGTGAATATGCTGAAATACGAAACGCGTTCAGAGCATGTATGGATTAATTTAGCAACTGGACCTAACTGTTCAGGAATTGGACAGGTAATGATTAGCTTTTAAGCATGGTTACAAGCTGATAGCGAAGATTGTGTTCAATTGCTAAAAGGTTAAATTCAATTTGGAGGGCTGTTGTTCATACAAACATGATACCATGCACGCATAAAGCCCGTCAATAACTTGCTATTTTTTTAAAATTTCCAGCCGGGGAAAAGCAGATTGCACGTCCTCAGATCTCAGTCTGGCTGTCCACCTGGGAGAAAAGAGTTTGAATTCGAACCAGGGTCCGGACGCTTTTGAAAGTGCACTAGCAGTGGAGTTTGTGAGGAACTCCGTATCTTAAAGTTGTAAAAATAAATTGTGGCAAAGGATGAGCAGATATATCAGGCAAAAGAGCCATAAAGGCTCGGCAAAAAAATTATTAAAACTGAAAAACTTTCCACAAAATTAGGTAGACTCTGCCCCTTCCGTGCCGTTTTAAACTTAATTGCTATTGTTTCCCAGTTGAAGCTTTTTGCAACCAAGGGTGCATGTGGAAGCTTTACCGTTATTCAAGCGAAGCATGATGTACAACCGAGTGAAAAGAAAGTGGTTATATTAATCAGTTTCTTCCGTGAAGTTATTCCCGCAGCAATTTCCCCGGGCTAAATGACCCAATTTCCTGCCTAGCTAATGCAGTGATTCCTCTCTATCCAGGAATCGAAGGAGAAGGGGGTTGGTTATGTTGGTTTAACATTTCAAACTCGAAGATGGGCATTAAGAAAAAAGCAATCTCGTTAATGCAGTAAATACATCCAAGCTACAAATGAAATAAGGAATACGTACATGCAAAATAATCAGCCAAAACGGCGTAAAGTTTTAAAAGGTGAGCACATTATTCTCATTTGCACTGTTTGCATTGCTTAGTAAACGCATGTCAACAGGACAGTTAATACCCCAGTTTCAACGTGCTGCACGATAATTTCGCGTTCGCATTAGCTCTCGCGTACCGTGATGAAATTGTCGATGTCCTCCAATCCTTTGCTTTTTTCCCACACATAAATCGGAATTACTAGTCCCGATTTTATCGCCGTACTAAACTAATTAAAAATTGAAGAAATGACACCGAAGAAAACAACCAACAAAGAAGTAGCTGTCGAAACAACACAAAGACTCACTGAATGACAGGATCGAAAAATGAACCGGTATAATCCAGGCTCGGATCCAGTCCATCCACCCCCTGCTCTGAAACCGAAATGATAACAATCACAAAGCTGAAATTACAATTATTGTGAAAATTATAAAGCTGAGGACACGTATAAAGGTAAGTGCATCAATAACAATGTAATTCATTACCTATTGTAAACATGTCGAAAGGACGTTTACAGGCGAACTACTTAAATCTGAAGAGAATTTGATGTCATGAAAGATTTGAAGCAAATTTCGCTCGGGTGGAAATGTGTCAACTTTTGGGAATTCGCAGCGCAAATATTTGATTGGACGTCACAAATTCCCGTTTGTGTTCACCTTTGCGTCAAGTATGCACTGGCCATAATACGCCTGACCCCTGGGAAACTTCCTGAATCCGCCCCGGTACTTTGCCAAAGCAAAGAGAGCAATTCAACAATGTATTCAGCTTAATGTTGATCAAATTAACGGAAGCTGCTCGGGAAGGACTATGAATGCAGAGAGGAATTAGCGAACTGACATTATGATCACTTGTGGAAGTGAGAGGGCCGACACTTCACAATGGCTACCAATCCACTCTCCTAATTTTACTGACAAAAACGGACCAGATTTCGCCTTCCCTGAAAATATGTCCAGCCGCTCCCCCGACAAGCTGCTCCAACTGTTATATTTCGATTTACGCATGTACATAGTCCGGCTGCTTTCACTGATCACTCAGTGAGGTTTTGTTTTGTTTTTGCCTCTACATTGGTCACTGATATGCTTCTAAAATTGTGTCTTTTTTGTACTTGACCTTTGAACCCCCTCCAGCTGTTACCAATCCCACGAACAACTGCAGACTAAAGTTAGGCAAGGCGATCAGTGTGAGCAATGAATAAAAGTTTGTGCGCTTGCACGAGAAAAGGCCAAGGTGCGTAACATTCACTACCTCAAGCTCTGAAAAGCACGGGCTAGTCTCTTGTCAAGTGCTGCGAACCCACTTCTGTTGAATGGCATTGTTGCAGTCGCCTTGACTTAAAGGGCTTACGAAAGCATTGTAGCGACGGGTGCGTTGATTTGTAAAAGTGAAACCTCGAGTTAAATTTGGGAGATCACTGGCGTGTGTTTGAGGAATTTTGTTTTGACCGTTTTCAGACAAAACAATAATCTATGTTAATTGGGGATTAGATTTTTCGCTGAGTTTTGGCTCCGCCCCCAGACAACGTAATGGGATAAACCCTATCCTCGGGTCGGGACACCCCTTTTGCCAGTGCCTCATGAGTGAATACGGGCAACTTCTCTCTGCTTCTCATTTAAAACAATACGTCAGGAACTACACCTTGGAAACCATTTTTTTTAAGAAGACTGAAAACTGCGAAGAAAACATCTCAGCGGCTACAGAAAAAAAATTTAAAACCCAAATAAGCGCAGTTAAAGTTGGGAGACACGAGGGAGCGGTTTTATGTTTCGGCACCTCCTAAGCTTCCAAATTATGGGAAGTGTAAACATTGTTTGATTCAAATTGAAAGCATGCGAAGATATAGCCACCAGGATATGGGGTGGCTCTGTTAACACTCTATAACTAATTTCTGCTCATAATTTCCATCAAGTCTGTATTTTGCCCAATATATCGACTGCCTATTCACTATTCGACAGGTTCGCCCGTAATGTCTTCCAAAGCGTTGCCCAAATTACCCACCACTTTCGGGAAATTCCACGTGAATTATCCGATGGAATAACATTTCCAGATATTTTTAACCACGTTATTGCTATTAAACGAGTAGCATATTCTGTTTGACAATTCGAGCCAAAATTGCTGAACCAGTGACTTTCAATCAGTGTCTTTTTGAGTTTATGGTGTAGAACGTCATGCTCACAGCAGTTACAATGCTGCCAAAGGGATCACAATCAAGTAACTCAAGGATGTGGCCCCCTGGTTCTGAGGGAAGGGGGTAGTATTGGGGATTTCTACGAGTAATCTGTCTTCTCCTAACTCTCTCCCGATATGAGTGCTACGATTTTTCAAGCGTCTGAAAGTTGTTCTCATGTTACCTTCCGTTTTGTTTGGTTTCTTCCTGGCAATAACTCATGAGGTGCATGCATGTGAACAAATAAAACAAAATCATGATGTATACATATCCAGGGCTTCTTATAAAAAGTGGATACTAAGCATGGAGGTGCCTGTGCATGCCTAATAAACATCAATTAAACAGGCGGCTGCTATACAAGGTTGCATGTGACTTCCTCGAAGAACGCCACTTGTTTTGAAGACATATTCAAATCTGGTAATTCAAATGGCGACAATAATGAAGTGCATGTGTGTTTTTATAATCACTTCCTCTGATAAAAAGTGCTTATTGTGAAAATCATGGTCGGATTTTTCCATTCATATGTCGCATGTCTGAATGTTCGTGTGTGCTTTTATTATTACTTCCTCTAACAAACCACTACTTGGATAGTAATCATATTCAGATTTTGCAACACAAGTGCAACTGCATGAGTGTGCGTGTGTTAACAACTTTACGGTTTGTGATGCCATAGCCAAGTTGTAGAAAAAGATAGGCTCTGACCTCACAAAAACCTATCATGGCAAACCTTTCAAATCAACCGATTCATAGTGTTTCGGGCTCTTGGTGCGAATCGGCCATCGCTTTCCACCATTTTCCCCTTCTCAAGACATAGCTGTTTCTAATCTTATTTTGCATTGTGAGCGTCCCAAACTACGTAGATTGTCTTTGGAAGTCGTTACTTGTTTACTTTATAATTTTGTTTTACATTGTTTTTTTCTTTTTGAGATGTGTTGGCTTTGGTGAAGAAGTTTCAGGAATTCTTGAGAAATCTTGAGGCTTTTGACAAAACAGTACTCCAATTTCCAAAGAAAACGTAATCATTCTGTGGATTTTTTCGTTGCTGTATTAATTTTTGTGATTTGTTTTGCTTTGTTTAATGCATTACCGTTTACGATGATGTAAAGAGCTTTCTATAGAAACACAAGTGAATCACAAATGAGATGACCAGACAGTCAAATCATCGGCTCCAACGAAAAAACTGTAATTGTCAACAAACAGAAATGCCGCGTAACTATCTTTCCAGGCGGTGCACCATACAAGCATTGTGTCTATACCATCAGGTCTGAGGAACGTTCATATGAGTCGCTTGGACATGCAATCTGCAGATTTCTTTCCACATTTGCTATTTCTACAAACGCTGGAAACGAGCAGACCACCGTTCTCACGCTAAGAAAAATCTTGATGACATCACCCGACGGGGTTCGTCCCTGGCCCCTCTGCGTGGAGAGGGCCAAGTGCCCAATACGGCTCAACCGAAGCTACCTAAACGACAAAAACAGCTCCCGGCCACCGCTTGTTACAAAACTTTAAAGTTTGAAGAGTGCACGAAACGTATTGGTCGAGACACATCTGAGATCACGAGGTCTCGGTGTCTAATAGTTCTAACACACATTCAAAGTATTAATACCCAATCATTGCAAGATGGTGAGGTACACAAGTGTTTTTTTTTTACCGCCGCAGTAAATCTTTCCGCAGAAAGCCGCGAGTATGGAATTTCGTTTTGGTGCGCTCAGCTTAAAAAATCGTCTGCGGACTCTACTCTCACGAAAACCTTCCACACGCTCAAGTTTCCATAAAGTGTTGGCGTTTACAGTATGCGCCCGAGGTTAAAGTCGTGTCGTGTTAGATTAGCAAAACTATGAAGGAAACTTTATCTGAATAAAGGATCTGAAACCACTGCCATCACAAAAGAAGCAAATATTACTAACTTAATTGGCAAACTATCTTATAGCCACCTTTTGACACGTGGTAGTTTTTTTTATTTATTTTATTTCAATCTTTGTCTGTAACCAGATGTCCAAGGTTTTTGCAAATGTCAGTTCATTCGTCAAATCAATGTCTAATCTTTTAATAGGCACCCCCCAAACATAGCATGCATTTGATATTACGATTCACCCCCTTTATATAAGGACCGTAGGAAGCACCTCCATACGGGCCATTCACAATAGTGCGCCGCCAAGACTTCGCTACGCCTTGGCCAATCACAACGCGCAAAATCTGTATACCCTTTCCAAACGTGTATTGGGTCGACAGATTTCGCGCATTGTGATTGGCCAACGCAATGCAAACTTTTGGAGGCGCATTACTGTGAAAACCCGTATTATAGGGCTTCTAATTCCAGAGGGAAAAAGCCATCACCGAAAATTCCAATAACAGGCCATTACCGGGTACTCTCCAAGAAGCACCCCCCAGAAAAAGGTTTTCCCAAAATAACTCTCAGAAAATGTGTTTAGTTTTGGACTGAAGCGTAGAATTTAATCTTTTCAAAACTACTTAAATTAAATCTAATGATGTGCTCTGGGGTAATCTTGATTACGTAAGACAAATGCTTTTCGGTTGTCCAACTGTAGCATAGCATAGCTAAATGGTATGTTTGCGCTACGTAACACCCCTTACTTCATGGAGTCAAGTAGCTAACAGAATGAGAATTGAGAATATGGACCTACACAGGGTTTCGTTGAGTTATTGTAACACTTCTTTTGTTTTCCATCGACAAACATAACGGATCCTGAAATGGTTCAAAGGCGTTATGTTACTGAAGAAAATAAGGTCAGCACTTAGTTTACAACTTGACTGAGGTAAATTGGATAAATTTAACTGAAGTTTTTTTTAACAAACTCATTCAACTCTGGAACTGCACAATAATAAAAAAGTAAATATAGCACTCCGCAATACTTACCAGATTAATTAAAGGGCTCTAAAGAAATTCTAAAGAGACAAAGGACCCAAAAATTGTGTGATAATTTTGGATTTGAATTCAGTCACTGCATACCTTGCAAGATATAGGTGTCACGTAATAACGCAGCATAGGCTTCAAATGAGATTTTTCATAATAAGTTTATCATAGAAATTAACAAGCTTTAACCTGCTACAAATCAATGACTTCTGACTTTTGCTGTGCGATAAAATGCTTTTACGTTCAGCTTGCTTTTTAGGGGGTGGGTGGGGGGAGACACACTCTTCCTGTTGGCAAATGCCTTCTGCCGCACGTGATCGAGTTGTTATGAACTTGAGATTCATGGTGCTTCGGTACTTGCGTGTGTATACAATAGCCATTAGGACAAGTTATACCGGCTTATTCTGTGGCCAACAAATGTTGGAGGCTTCACAGGTTTAGGGAGACGCGAACGAGTTCTGTACAAATGTTGAAACTGGAAACGTTTATGAAAAGTAAAACCCTAATATCTACACTTCTTGCTTGGACTACATAGCATTACTGCATGGTGATTACTTTATTTGTTTACATTATTCGAACAGTTAGTAATTGCATTCTGATGCTGCAAAATTGGAGAGTGAATATAAAAATGAATGATTTGAACTCACTGACAACCATTACAGAGAGAGAACAGATCCAAAGATACTAGATTCATTAAACGGAGAAACTCAGCTTTATGCTCCCTCAGAATAAATTAAGAAATCGTGTCCAAGGTGACGATATCTTTAGCAGAGACGAAAACACCATCGTCAAAACCCGACATGTTAAACTGTACTTTTACCTAAACACATGTACCGGAATATAGATCGGTAAACACAAAATGACATCCCCAGTCCGTCTGGAAAGTAACCCCAGCTTCATGTCCAGTTGTCCGTCCCATGTTCGAACTGTTCCCCTCAAATCAGCGGAGGGGTCGGCCCCCAATAATAATTGAATTTATTAGACTCTTATTCAGTCTGATCGCTCGGTGTTATTTTCTAATGAATTCAATTACAGAGACCCCGGGTTCCCCGCGGTGTCTCGTCGGCCGCTTAGGAGGTATTCATTGGCTTGGGACAAATTGTGAGAAAAATACATACTGGCTGGCGAGTCGTTACGCTTGCAGCTTGAATAGAATTGATTGCTTGGTGAACTTGATGTTCCGATAGCGATCCGTTCGTATCAATCAAGGTTTATTTGGTCGACTACCGCAGAGAAGGTGAATCTGCCTTTGTCAGGTTGGCCAGATAGGCTAAGGTGCTTTAAAGGGGACTGTACCATGAATTCACTCAGGAACACAGTTTGAGAAATTTTCTACTTCTCTTAAATGTCTGAAAAAGCGCATGTAATTGACATTCCCTGCTGGTTAATTTGATTGAAAAGTGCACTTTTTTTTAACTTGAAACCTTTGAAATTTTTCGTACTTTTTCGTGACAAATGAGGGCGCTGTTGCTGCGACGTCATTTCAGGAAGACACTGTTCATTTTCTGGTGGGTATTCTATTTAGGCCTACCTATTGTGAATCACAAATTTCCTCTGTAAACATTTAAATATTTGAAATAAAATGGTACATTGAAAGAACTGCTTGGGAAACTTACATTGCACAGGCCCTTTATAAAATATGGACGGAGAAGAATACTTCAATCTGCTAGTTTATCCCGACAATTAACATAATTACGTGTAGACACGAAACACGATTAGAGAAAAGAACACAAGAGAAACCTCCAGACGGAGGACAGGAGAGAACAGAGGGAACATAGCAGAGCCAGGTTTTTGCTCTTACTCTGAGTGCAATATCTGTGGCAGAGACTGCCATGACAGGATCAGATTGCTGATTGGGTCGCTTGTAAACGAAACGCACTTTTTAATGACCAAAGGTGAATCCATTGTCTTTCAAGGCAAAAGGATGCTTATACTATTGCACGAATGATAACACAACTCATTTCAGACTCACAATAAGCAAGAAGCGGTAGGATTAATTTTGTATACACTTTTCCATTTTGTAGGGTTCAGGATGCATCAAGCAAAATTTTATAAAATCATGCAAAAGAAAAGGCATGCTCAACCAAACAATGACAGTTTGCATTTTAAAAAATGACCCGCCAACAAAACTAAGTTTATACAGAAAAAATGAGACATCATTTGCACTGATTTGTGAGGAATTGGTCTCTCTATCAACGGGGAAAAACCACATTTTGAAACAACAATCTCATCACTGTCCAACACAGTTACATTGTACATTGTCACAAAGTTGCCGTTATTTGGTTGGGATCACGCCCCCGGCTTCTTCCATAAACCTTCTAAAGTACAGCCTCGGTTCACGTTCACCGAACGCCGAATTTGGAAATCCGAAAAACCTGCCGAGCTAGCTGTGGGCGCTCTGCAATTCGGTGTAGTCTGACTCCTCTGAAAACTAATGAACAACTTGCGCGCGGTTCCCGTTTCCTTCCAGGGTTGCTAGGAGTCGGGAGCTAGACACATACAGGTACTTCTCCATCTACACCCCCTTACTAGATCTATCGTCATCCACTTGGGGAAACACTTTTCCCCCTTCTTTTCCTTTTAAAGAAAGCTTCCAAAAGTTTTCATAATGTGTACTTGTGCAATATCCACCCATTCAGTACTGTATCGGATAGGCGCCCGAGGCCGATGCATAACAACAAATCTAATTTAAAGTTCATAGGAATCGCGGTGGGGCATTCCTCCAGGGAATGTGGCCCGTCCGTAATGGCGGCTACATGAAAGCATAGCAACCCACACACGAGATGGGAACACACGCCGTTACTGTCGCTCTCTCTGATTGGATCCTCCACCTCAAGCCAATCCCAGCACTTTTTCCCCTTACCGAGCATGCGCCGTGGGGCATCCAGGCGGCAGTGTCGGAGTAGTGGCCGTGTGTTGTAGTGTAATGACACGATTCCTGTTTGGGGATATACGTGTTGTGCTTGGGCTATATACCAACCCAACTCTTATGGGAATTCATGGCTTGCCATACATAGCCGCCTACACCGTGGGTCGACTGGGGGCTTTAGCGAGCTTGGAAACCGATCCACACCCGATAACGACCTATAGTCCCCGACAGGTTTTGGGAGCAGGCTCAGTGTTTTGCGTCAGCCACGGACTAAACAAGAACCGACAGCCTTCTCTTGGCCAAGCAGTGCCGGTTGCCCCAGCTTCCAGTGAACTGGGTCTGTGCCCCGCTCTAGCGACTGATGTTACACATCGTGCGGTGCCTGGCATTCTTCGCACAAGTCAGGTTTAATACGAACAGGCTACACGACGCACCAGCCCAGCGTGAGTCCAGCTTGAGTTCTCGGCGTTTGTGATACACCTGTGCTGTCCAGAGGGATACCTGCTGTCTAGCGCACCTTGGACATCTTGTACTGCTTTACTCGATTATTTTCTGGATTTGCTCAACGCCAGTTTTAAGAATTATTTTCCTCATTGATGCATTGAATTACGAAATCAGTGGTTTGCGAGCCTAAAATTGTAGAAACAAATATCAAACGCTAGATAACTGAGAAACCTTGAGAGGAACCCATTCGACGAGCCCGGGCGTACACATGATGATCTTTAACACCCCCGAGGATATGGCCACACTGCATAAGTCTTCCTTCGCCGGCTTGTCTGATGAGTCCAGCATGCATCATGCGCAGCAGACAACGGGGCTTGGCGGCGCGTTGACCGGCGGGCCTTGCCGGCCTGGCTACGGTATGCCCCACTCCATCGATGGAATTCTTGGTAACGGCACGGCCAGAGGCAGAAATGGTAGCGGGGAGTCGCCTTCACCAGGTTAGAAAAGCTGTCTCGTTTTTATTGATTTTTAAAAAATACAACAGATGTGAAAGGTTATCTTGCTGGACAGTTTAGTGAGCGATAAAATGAGATAAAGGGTGAAATCAAACTAATGATTAATACAATGACAGGCATTACGTAAAATAAGGAGAGTGACAGTGTAATCAATTTAAATTTATGTCGTCACTTAAATAATATTTAAATATCCATCTCGAGACTGTAACGTATTTGAGTCAGGAAAACTTTGCTGTTGCTAAAATATACTAGCATTTATCTGTCTTTTGTAGGAAACCAAAGCAGTCCAATCCTCTGATGTTATTAGGTGATAATTCTTCCATCGTTCACAGCAAACGGAATTCGTTGCTTTAAATATCCACCCACAACACATCCATTGGTCACAAACCGCAAAAAAGAAGCAGCGCACAGTGAGTGTATCAATTGGAGCACGTGGGCCAATTGGGGATAATGACTCTTCATTAAGCGAGCTGATGATATCATTGGCTTGATCAGAACTCACAGTTCCAACTACGACATAAATGCACTCCAATTTGTGTCGCTCATTATTCACTTTAGTCGACCTGGAATTTTTTCCCCTGCTTGTCTTTTCGTGCGAGCACGGCGCCCGCACCGGTTCTTCCGTGCGCCTAATGATAACTGCCAGTCCAAATTAGGACCAACTTGCACCCAGTAACTTAATTTGTGCTAATTTGTTGGTTATATAAGCGTGGTATACCGGCTGATTGAGCAAATCCGTACAATTCGATTATCTACCGCTGGGCGCGAAGTTTTGAATATCTCTTGAGGACTACCGTTTGCAAAGACCATCCTCGTGTTGGTTGTTTGGTTGTTCATTCTTATTGGTAATTTTGCTATATCTCAAATTTGTTCTCCTTCAGGCATGTCTTCTAAAATTTTGTTTTATCTGGTGTCAGGTTTTTTTTTTTCGACTTGGTTCTTTGAAGTGAATGCTTTCCGGTTCCTCACCCGGGGGTTTCATTTCTTCTTTAATCATTAGTTATGCATGTTTCTGTCTTTTTATACTTGGCTGAAGAATTTCACAATATGTTTATGTCATTGCCTGTCAATGTTTCTGTTGCTTTTTACACTTGTTCGACAAACTGGATGAATTGTTTTCAATGCGGCGTATACTTTTATTCAGCATAGATGTAAACTACAGGCTAATAGAGCTAGAACCTACCCTTCAAAATGTGGTTTACTCGTTTAGGAAAATAAACCTTCCTTAGCTGAATGATAGAATGGACTGGAAAAGTCAGCGGGCCGTTGATCAAGCTATCCATTTCAGACTGATAGTATTGTGAGGGGATGTATTATAGTTATAAACGCCATCGACTGTATATATTAATTTATATCCAATGCATCGCAATATATTTATGTATTTCCCAAGTCTATTGGTATCATGTTGTACTTCTTTCTGATAAAGCACACTTTTAGGCGTTGAGGAACAGCATTACTCTGTGTAAAGCTATCCCTTTGTGATCGGTTCATTTCCTTTGTTTTCTCCAAATGTCGGTAGTAGAGGATTTCCCTCTTCAAGTTAGATGTCCACCACCTTGCAGCGAAAATAACCGGTACGGTTGATGGGCTCGAGTTGTATTGTGCTACAGTGAGTCACCTTTGTCGAATCACAAGGGTGTGTAGGTTCGAATCACACTGCAGGCATTTTTTTCCGACTGTTGCAAAATAAGCTCCGGGGGCACTGACTCCTGAGAATAAGACAACAAATATTGTAAATCTAGATAAGAGTTACACAGAGCCACTACCACATTGCTATACCCACACGGAAGTAATCCGTGGCTATTTCAAGCGAATACAAGATGTTATCATGACATGATCGGTTGGTAAAGGAAGAGATCGAAGTGAAGTTGTCACCATACAAACACCATTTCCTCTCTGCAAGAGACGTTGATATTGAGATTACGCACAAGATAAAATTGTAGTTCTTTTGTTTTACTTCCAAAGATGCTGTTTATTACGCAGGTGATATTTTGTAATCGATAATGCTGTCAGCATTTATGTTCAGAGGGAAAGGATCCACAAAGAGTAGTGCTTACATTGGTGAGCACTACTTTTAATTTTCTTTACTTTCGCTTATATAGTGCCTCGCAGTCCCATTTCCACTTTCTACATAAAGATGCTTACTGATGGCACATTGAGGTAAAGTAACTTCTTCAAATAAAGTGCTGTTAATGTTTTCCAGTCATGTTCCCAAACACTGGGTCTTTCATAACTAAACTTTCCTTCGCAGATTAGATTGATTTTCATACGTTGTATTATGTGCATTGTCCTTTATAGATAGCGTTTAGACATTGGATGCGTCCACCACATTGTTATGTTGGCTTAGGGAGACTCTTGGGCTTTCTGATCGACCTCCATATGACTATTAATTGAGTTACAGTATAGCTTCCTAATCAAAATTACCAGCGCCCTCTGTTGGTCAGTATAGCGGTAAAAAATTATTGCTTTTGAGCTGTTTATGAATTGTGAACAAAACAATGCATTATCAGGAAGAGAGGCTGCAGTGGACGTAGTATGAAAGTAGCAGTTAATTATGTTCATTGATTGTTAATATTTTCTTTATGTTTTACTAAAGTGGGAATACAAATATAAAGAATCAGTAGCACTTTAATGACTGTTAAAGTAAAACTCTGCATAAGCTTTCGTAGCTACAGCTACTCTGCCTAAGCTTTCACAGCTACAGCTACTCTGCCTAAGCTTTCGTAGCTATAGCTACTTCATCAGATGCAAGTAGTTGTAGCTGTGAAAGCTTATGCAGAGTTTTACTTTAACAGTTAGTCATTAAAGTGCTACTGATTCTTTATATTTGTATTCTACCTGACTGACACGGCTACCCACCACTATATAAAGTGGGAATGTGAACCGTCAAGAATTTGTGTAACAAGGAACTTTACTGAACGAGAAAAATATGCGTGGGCACTCGGGTTTCAGCATATTGATTGTGTGAAACATTCTGAATTTAAAGCATGACCTTGACAGCCGCTATGTTGCAATTCTGAAAAATGACATTTTTTAACGACCCATAAGGGATACGTAGTTTTTCTAGCATAAGAAAGTTCAGTTGTAAGTACAGACCTTTTTTTAATACAGGAAATCTACAGTAAAAAGAAAGAAAAACAAAACAAAAACCCTCCAAACCACCGGGGTGTCAAATTTAACTACCAGTATGTAAGGAGGACAACTGGGCGTATGTTCTGCTCTTTTTTCCCAAGGATGTCAATTGTCAGCAGCGTCTTTGCAGCGTAAGAATGTATTCCCTGTCCCGTTCAAATTTCTTACAAAATATGCGCCGGGGGTTTGAAGTAGTCTAGAATTTTGATTTGATTTGCGTATTACTAAACTTCCTGGAAAGCTCAGGATACTTTTTGAGCATAGAAATGCTATACATTTAACTAACGTCATGGTAGATGCGTATTTTCTTTATCACTTAACCATTACGGTGTTCTCTGTATGTCATGTTTAAGGTAAAGTTTAAGCCTATGTTATTTATGTCAGACGTTTTGACAAAGTGAAGAGTATTCGGGAACAAAGACCCTTCTGATGAATACGCCTCTCCTCAACCAATTCCCTTCCCGAATACCTTAGCGTATCCCCAAGGTTGTTAAGTTCAGAAGTGAATCAAGAGATATATCCCCCTTCACCCTTACCCAATCAAGTCATTACTACGACAGGAAGACCGCGAATAAAGCTTTCTAAACCCCGCAAAAGGTGACCGCGGCGTGCGGGCCCAAAATCTACACGGGCAACTCGCGCCTTATCGCAGCCTCAATTTGCAGAGAGGAAGGGTGTTGCCCCGCGTCGGAGCCTGGACTATTAAAACATTGAGTGACTTGGGACTGGTTTGGCCTGGCTGCAGATACTATGACGTGGACTTGAGCATGCGGTGGGTGGGAGGGAGGGAGAGAGCGAGGGGGTCTGCGAAATCTCCATCATTTTTCTTGGGTGGGGGTTGGGTGGATAAAATGGTTTAAGTTACTACCGACAAAGAGGGTAACAATAATGACCCGTAATGCCGTGATTACCTGCCCGTCATAGGTCCGGACCTTTCTGCTGAATCATTCCCTCTTGATTGTTCAAGAATTCTCTCTGTGGCATCTTTTCCTTTTACCTTTTCGAGGTTATCTCTCTATATTTGGTAGTACATCGACATGCTTGAGATGATACAGCGCTGTGTCGCGCCAATTAAAATGGATTATCAGTGTAATTTTAACAATTGATTACTTCATACCTGTTATTGGATAATGTGTAAACCCTCATTCAAATCCCTGCGCAAATGGAATATAAGATGTAATTTCAGTCTTAGGCCACTGTGTCTATTTTCCTTTAGGTTAAGGATTCTACAGCTCAAACACAGGTTTTGACTACGTGTTTTTTCTCACAGTTTTATTTCTAGATTAGATTAGCAGCGTCGTTCCGGTTTTCTAAAGCCTTGCTTTTGAAAGCTTTGTCCTGCCAATTATTAAATTGGCCACAGATCTACTTGATAGCAGAAAGCTTATACCGTATCCCGCTAGTCCCCAAACTCCAATGATGTGACACTATTTGTAGGCTTAGGCAAAGAGCAACGGTAGTATTATTATGTCGTGAAATTGATACCCCTTTATTCAGTCAAAATTTTACAAAACTACTTGAAAACAAACTTTCGCCTGAAGAGCCGTTCTCCTAACTGTCCACTATTTGTCATATATAGTTTCCATTCACTTATGAATGCCTCTATTTGCACGACATTTTTGAAATCGTCAGAAAATTGAGTTAATAAGGAAGTTTTTTTTCTTTTTTAAAAAATATAATCCACCGATTTAAAGCAAACTGTAATAATTCCAGATATCCATCACTGTTAGACCTCCAGCGTCCGGGCGGTTATGCATAACTGCTTTAAATTGTAGTCATGTTTCACAATGTAAAAACAAGTGTTGATGTTTTAACGCCTTAATGGTAACACTTAATGAAAGTGTTGTCGT